AAAATGTGGCATATGTACTCTATGGAATACTACTCTGCCATAAAAAAATCAATGAGACCCTGACATTTGATACAAAGTGGATGAATATGAGAGACTTAATGCTAAGCAAAGCAAGCCAGAGTACGAAAGATAGACTTTGTATTTTCCCATTTGATATATACCAAATATCTGCACTCTATAGTAGAAATGGAAAGTTTGGAAGGTATAGTAGCAGGGAGGGCAACTATAGATACTAGCGATAGTAAGGATGGGGTTTTAGTACAGGGGTGGGTAATGGGGAGAGGGAAGGAAATGAAAAGTTATTTACTGATGATAATGTACACAGTAATGTCTTTGTCTTGACTGATATACACTGTATTCATGATGGAAAAAGCAATGTTGTACACTATAAAGATATATAGTAATTAAATGTAAATTTAAAAATTAATTAAAAATTTTTTTTAAATCCTGAACATACTCATCATACAATCCAGCAATTATACTAATGGGTATTTAACCCAAAAAAGTGAGTACGCATTTACACAAATGTTCAAGGCAACTATGTATGTAATAACTCCAAACTAGAAACAACCCAAATGTCCATCAAAGTGTGAATGGTTAAACAAACTGCGGTACACCCACACCATGGAATACTAGTCAGTCATAAAAAGAAACATACTATTTGATCTATGCAACAAGTTGGACAAATCTCAAGGGGGTTATGCTGAATTAAAAATCCATCCTCAAAGGCCACATGCTGCACGATTCAACTTACATGACACGCTTAAAACATTAAAATGAAAGGGATGGAGGATAGAATAGTGGTTGCTAGGGGTTGGGAGGCTGGAGGTGATGACGATGGTGTGTGTGACTATAAAGGAGGGGCAGAGAGAGCTCATTGTGGGATAGGATAGTTCTACATCTTGTGGTGGTGGTTACGTGAGTCTATACATGTGACAGAAGACACATAAGACAGAATAACTAACAATGTAAGATACCGTATTCTAACTAATGACTTAATTTTTAAAATCTCTTCATTCAGCAAAGTGTTTAGAAGTTCCAGGACAGTTCTATGAGATTACTAAGTGGTGTGTGTGACTATAAAGGAGGGGCAGAGAGAGCTCATTGTGGGATAGGATAGTTCTACATCTTGTGGTGGTGGTTACGTGAGTCTATACATGTGACAGAAGACACATAAGACAGAATAACTAACAATGTAAGATACCGTATTCTAACTAAATGACTTAATTTTTAAAATCTCTTCATTCAGCAAAGTGTTTAGAAGTTCCAGGACAGTTCTATGAGATTACTAAGTTATGAATTTTCTGAAATAAGCAACTGACCTGCCACCCGTAGCTCCCAGAAGGCTTCCTGCTCGTAGGTCTGGGAGCCGAACCAGCACCCATACAAGCCAGCATCCAAGGGAGTGACTTGCTTCAGCCTCAGTGAGACACGCCCCTCAGCGAGGAAGTCCTTTACAAGCTCGGTTCTCCTTTGATATTCTGGCATCTTCATATTTTCTTGGTCTTTCCCATCTTTGTAGAGGTGAACCACAGCCGAGAACCGATCCTTGAAGAAGCGCACTTCCATGGCCTCTGCACTTGCCTCAGGAGAGAGGAAGCAGGAGAACTCTGCATCCTCCCCAGCCAAGACCTGGATGGTCCTGTCTGGCCCAATCACCTGCCACCGACCTGTGAGAGGAAACAGCACAGATAACCGAGAAAGTTTATTTAACCGTTAGGCTCAGGCGGGAGTGGGCTGGCGATGTGCATGGATGTAGAACGCTCATCCCACCTCCGTTCTACACCAAGGACTCACATCTATGTATTTTTGTGCTTTCACATTCATTACTTCACTCAGTCCTCACAAACATCCCTAGAGATGTGCATTATTTATTTACTTACTTATTTTTTAAAGAAGTATTTTAGGGACCAGCAGTTGGCGTAATGTTTATGTTGCTGGACTCCCATGTAGGCGACCGCAGTTCACGTCCCGGACCCGGTGGCTTAAAACTCACGTCGGGCGCATGTGCGTGCGTGCCCAAGATCCCAAGAGAACGGAGGAGAAGGGATTGCAGCGTGGCCATCCCCCCTGGGGGGTGATTTCTTGCTTTCTGTCTGTCTCTCTGTCTCTCTCTGTCTGCCTGGCGAGCGCACGCGCCCTATAGCAAAAACCTCTCCAAAAAAAAAAGAAGTATTTTATTTAACTTTATTTATTTGCTCATTTCTTTATGTTTATTTCTTGTTCTTTTTTTTTTTTAGAGGTTTTTGCTATAGGGCGCGTGTGCTTGCCAGAAAGACAGAGGAAGTCAGAGAGACAGAAAGCGAGAAATCACCCCCCCCCCAGGGGGATGGTCACACCACAATTCCTTCTCCTCCATTCGCCTCTCAGGATCTTGGGCACGCACACACGCACCCGGCATGAGTTTAAGCCACCAGTCTGGGACTCGAACCAC